CTGAAGGCATGATGGTTGGCACTTGATGGCGCGGCGAAGAGAACACTTGTTACAGTCTCCCCCACTCAATTCAGTCTTCGTCCTCGAAGACTAGCTTCTGCTTGAGGCTTGAACTTGTTGTTGGTGTAGGAAGGTTCTTCGACTGCTCCACGAACAGGGTTTCTTCCAARGCCCAGATGGGAGATTGGGTAGATGGCTAGTGGATGTCCTTGATGGTTGGAAAACCTATGGCTAGTCCCTAAGTTAAGTCCCTGCCTGGCTGCTTCKAGGTAGGATTTTGGATGGTTCCTGATGGTGGAAGGAAAATTGGTGGCCAAGGCTGGGTCAAAATGGTATTTTGGATTGTTAGGGTGTTSGTTCCCATGCATTTTTCCCCAAGGGTGACTCACAGGGCTACTACAGGATTTAGCTTGAGGGATGGTGTGAATATGGTCCCTAAATGGCTTGCCGGCACTCGTTCTCCCCGATGGTTGTGGTAGTAGATGTTGGCAAAGTTTGACACGGCCTTGGGTCTTCTGATGGGCCCACCAGTTGTGGGTGTGTGCGGCTTCTACTGCAAAGGTGGCTTCCGCTGCTATTGTTGTGGCGGCATTGGCACTGACGCTGGCGCTGGCGTTGACTTCTTCCTAGAGTTGCTTCGATCACTTCTGGTTGCACTGGTGGTGGTTGTAGATATCTCTGCCATCAATGGTTGAGGGTGGTGTTGGAGTTGCAAGGCGGAGACTTGCTTCTTCTTGGTGCTGGTTGTGGTGATCATGTTGACCATGCAAGGTGACTGCTCGTCCAAGATCATTAGGGTGTCAAGGTGAGGCGCCGGTGCCGCTTTTGCCTGTATCATGAAGTCCATTCCAAGGACAATATCAAAATCATCTATGTGGACGACAGAGAGGTCAATCTCTCCATCCCAGGTGCCGAGTTGTAGTCTTACTCGGCGAGCCATGCCTTCAGTAGGTTTGGCACCTGTGTTAACTGCTTTGAGCCAGCCAGGCTCTTTGGAAATAGCCAAATTAAGTCTCTTGGCCTCTGCAATGGATATGAAGTTGTGAGTGGCCCCTGTGTCAACTAGGGGCCCTGGTTGGCCTCCCGCCAATGGTTACATCAACATACCTCAGTCCTCTCTTGACTGAGGAGGGTTGTTTGGAGGTAGCCCCTTTCTTCATCATGGCATTGAAAAGTTGGAGGGCGCCCACTCTTGGCGCATGGGTACTCCGTTCCCCATCACTTTGCTCATCATCACTTAGCTTGGCAATGAGGGCATTCAGCTTTGCTCGCTTTGGGCAATTCCTGGTGAAGTGCTCCTCCCCACAAATGTAGCAAATGGGAGGACAGTTGGGTCTCCCTTGATATTTGTTGTTGTAGTAGCTTTGACTTCCTTGGGGCTGCTTCCCTTTGTGATGCTCGACTGGTTTGTGGTTGAAGGGTGGCTTTTCCTTCAGGGGACTTGGTTGTCTATCTCCCCCACTCGAATGTGTGGTACGCGAGCTGCCTGGTCTGCTTCCTTCGTTATCCGATAGTCTCCGTTCAATAAGTTGTTCAGCCACGGCCATGGCGGAGGCAAGGTCCTGAACATTGCGTCGTTGGACCTCGAGCTCGGCCCAAGGCTTTAGGCCATCCATGAAGTTGAACAATAAGTCATTGTCTGACATATCGGTGACTTCTAATGTGAGGGCTGAAAACTCTTTGACATAGTCATGGAGGGAGTCGCTGTGCTTGAGAGTCTTCATCTTGCGACGAGCGAGGTATTTCATGTTCTCTAGGTAGAACTGTCTCTTCAGCTCTCTTTTAAAGTCAGCCCAGGTACAGATAACACACGTACCACGTTCTATATCAATACACCTTCTGCGCCACCACAACATAGCGACATCAGTCAAATACATAGTAGCAGTACGTACCTGAGTCATTTCATCAGTCACATTGGCGGCGGCAAGGTACTGTTCCATTTGCCACAGGAAGTTGTCGAGCTCTCGTGCATTGCGGGTACCCGAATAGGGAGTTGGCTCCCTAATCTAGATGTGGGAGGGAGTATGTGCAAAGGGAGTGCTGGCTGGATTAGCGACGGCCCTCTTCAAGATTGCACATTCTGCTTTGAACTCCTCTAATTGAGCTTGGGTGTCGGAGAAGGCACATGCGGCGGACTTCAGTGAGGCCGACTCCGCTCTCATTTCATCTAGTTGGGCCTGCACGACCATTGATGTGGAGGTGCTTCTTCTCCACGTTGCCCACTCATTCTTCATCTCATCGAGCTGGGCTTGAAAACTGTCAAGCCTGTCTTGGACCTGCGAGTTGGAGGAGCTTGCTTCTTGTTGGCGCGCAGTGCTGCAAATTTGCTTGAGCGTGCCATTGATTATGTCTCGGACCTCGTCCACGACTCCACTCAAGCGACCTTCAATCTCGACCAGTGTGTTGTCCATGGCTTCCATGTTTTGATGCAGCTCGTCTATCGAGTCTCGCATCTCACCTACGGTGGCTTCGCAACGCAGCATGCGCAACTCAACGGCTGCATGCTTGTTGGAAGATTTCTCACGTTTGCTGGGCTTCGGTTCCTTGTCCTTGCCGATGTCGTCGGTGGTCGCATCATCGGCCTCATGGGATGTGGAGAGTCCATGCTCGATCTCCTCCACGATGTCCCTGTTGTGCTTCATGCTGTAACTCGCGTCGCGGGTCGAATGGCTTAAAAAGAGCTCCTGCTCTGATACCAACTATCACGGGGGTAATCGTTGGGGCCCGTGCGGCACTCGAAATGGGCAAGTAAGCCTACGCAACAAAGCAAACACACACAAAAAGGCAACAAGATGGCACACGAATTAGCAAAAGGCTATTTGTATTGCATTAATCAGTGGTAAGCATAAGCACACAGTACAGTGTCGAGGGGATCTCGTGCTTAACCTTTACACGCTTATGAACTCACTCGACTACCTACCTCCCCTCAAAGAGTATGTTAAGCTTTTGGGGGAGTGACAATAAGAAACATCAAAAAGGTGAAAAGTCATACTACAATATTACAATAATGCCATTGGCAATCCCCCATACAAAAGTACATGCATAGTCCACCCATGACACACACTTGGACACTGGAGTGGCGACTGAAGGCACGATGGTTGGCACTTGATGGCGCGGCGAAGAGAACACTTGTTACAATGTGGTACTAGCCTCGATAACCAAAACAATGCCAAGAGGTTTGACCCTAGTTTGTCTCCACCCTTCGGGTCAGACCTCTTGAACCAACACATGTGTGTCCCAAGTCACAACTTTTACCAATGGACGAAGACATGGAGTGACGTCAAGCACAACCACTAACTTCATCTCTCTACTCCCTTCACCCGAAGTCGAGGTCTATTTGCTTAAGTCGACAACGCACACCACGCTAACTCCTAGGCGACACTGACTATATAAAGGACCCTTGGCCTTAGATATCTCACTTATGCACACTTGTATTCTCAATTTACTCTAGCTTATTGAGACCTCACCCTTCTTTGAGCCCTCAACTAACTTGACTATTAGAGTACTCGCCCTTGGGACAACATTATGGGGACTCTAACATCTTATGATTGGTTGCAGGTGGGCCCCTTGGCCTCTTCACCTTGAAAGTGACAAAAAGAACTACATGTTATATTGTTAAAGGCTTCCAGGTTACAGCCTTTAAGATGAAAATACTTTGTTTTGTTCTTTTCTAGGGTCCCAGCCCGCCTGGGCTTGTGTCTTAGGCCCGCATCTAGCCCGCCTAGGGTTAAGCCCGTAATAATTGATGCTAAGCCTCGCCCACCCAAGCCCATGATCACCATTGGGCAGTCTTAGGGGTGAGCCAAAAAAAAACCTGAAAAACCAAACCAAACAAAAAAAATTGGTTAATCGAACCGGTCGATTTGGTTTTGGTTCAGTGTTTTTTAAAAATTGAAGGTACCAGTTTGGTACCACCACCGAAGGTACGGGTGGTTAACCAAACTGACCGATATACATATATTTCTATATATTTTATACATATTTATGTATATCATATATTATATATATTATAAATTAATAAATATGCATTATATATAAATATATATTTGTAATATATGATATATTATTTATTATTTAAAATATAATATTATATATATAATTTTTTATTATATATTTATATATATTTTTATAATATATTGTAAAAATCAAAAAGCCAAAAAATCGATGAACCGAACCGGTCAACCGGTTAATCGACTGACTTCGGTTTGATTTTGGTTACCGGTTTCCAAAAACCGCTAGTACCGGTTCGGGTCAAAAAACCCACGGTTCGTTTAACCGAACCGTGAGCACCCCCAGTCTCTCTCTCTCTCTCTCTCTCGTACAGAAGCTATTTATGATTTCTGTCTTTCTGAAAGACTGAAACAGAGAGTAAAAAATTTCACAAAAAATTTGCCCGTCCATCATCGCTATTTGGTTGAAAAGAAATGCATGTTTAATTTATTTGATTCGCATTATTATCTGGTATTTCTCTGTTTGGATTTCATTCGATAATGATGGGAACCTGTCGATTTTCTCTGCTGCTGGGCATCTTCTTTCTGCTTTCAATTCCCAGATCAGGTTCTGCTGCGTCGAAAGATTCACTTGGAATTGCTCCCGAAGGTGAGGACTTATTTATCTTCGTATTGTTTGTCTCTGGTTTAAAGTAAACTGAAATATTTCTGGATTTCTTTGACTACTCAGATGAGAAATACTTCAAGGGAGAGATTATTAAATGCAAAGATGGATCAAAAAAATTTACCAAAGCTCAGATGAACGATGACTTCTGCGACTGCCCGGATGGAACTGATGAGCCAGGTTTGCCATTGTAGCCTTTTGCATCGGCATAATGCAAATGGGTATTGCATTTGTTCTCTATGTCTCCATGAGGCTTTTCTGGGTGATTTTGTTTTCTGGTCTAGGTGTTTCGAATCTTTGGCTTGGTTGGTTTTTACTGCTAAGAAGTACAGAAAAAAGCGGACATTAGAGATCATTTTGAATATATAGAGAAGGGAATTGGTTAGTCGGGTTATTATACTGGTCTGGGGTCTGAACTGATCATAGGGATAGACGCTACAAAGTCTTTTATTCAAAGGAACTGGTTATGGGATTTTGGTTTTCTTATGTGTTTGGGTCTTTTTGTTACATTGTTCATTGAACATAGAAGCTGGCCTGATTTTTCTCTACTTTCTATAAATGTTATTGTCAATGTTTAGATATCAGTTTTCTGATTTGCAGGCACATCGGCATGCCCGGGAGGGAAGTTCTATTGTCAAAACGCAGGATATGTCCCTTCTTCACTGTTCTCTTCGAGAGTCAATGATGGCATTTGCGGTGAGAATGGGTTTTTCCTTTTCTGAATTCATTGTTATTGTAAAAAAGGTGATTGGTGGGAATTTGATTTTATGCTTCTAAAATTAGCTAACAAGACATTGAATTAAGTCAATTTGCTTTATGCTTCCTTTCAATCTCACTATAATGATGTCTGTTTGGTCTATTTAGTTTTAATATTTCTTTATAGTTTTCATGTTAAAAGATTGTGTCATGTCCCATGTTATTAGTATTTTATTATTATAATCTAGTATTTTAAAAAGAAACTAGTATTTTAACTAACAAACTGAATGGTTTAGTTTAATAATGTCTATTTTATTATTATAATCTCAAAAAATCAAGAATAAAGTATACAATGGCACCATGTAGAAATCACGAAATAGCTAGCCAATTAAGCAAGACCCTCCATGGTTGCCTTTTCCTCTCTAGATGTTGCCTTAACAACTATGGTTCTTATCCTTTTGGTTTGTATCCTTTGTACATGTTGAGAGTATATATGGGTGATATGATAATTTAGGATCCATTTCTTATGAATAAGGGCACTCTTGCCAATATCTTATCATAAATAGGGGCATATTTGTAAACCCACTTTATCTTGATTTTAATGTAAAGAGGGTCGACTACTATAGGGTTGATTGAGCTTTCTATTTTCTTCCTAAGCAGTTTGGTCAATTCTTCTCCTCAGTTCTCCTCTCCTTTTCTTCTTTTTTCTTCTTGATCACTTCTTCTACTACAACTCTGATTCCATAACAACATATTAACATGGTATTAGAGCAGGGAGAGTGAGAAATCAGAAAGGAGATCTCTCTTTCCTTATTTGATTCCAAAAACTTGGTTCCCTACCTTATTCTTGAAGGGATGAGAGATCCATCATATGCATGGCCAAACTTTGCAGGAAGGTTGGGCGAAATTTCAAAATTTCTCTCTCACCCATGTGGGAATCACATTCCCTGTTTTAGAAAACTGCATTTTCAAGGATCAATCTTGAACTTAAACCAGACTAGATCTGAAACTAAAAGGGAGTGGAGGGTTATACCTGATACGAAGTAACAATAACCTCCAATGAAGGTGTTCACGCCCAAGGAAAGATCCAAAGACTTTTTCCACCGAAGATGATACGGTGCAGGATGAAGCAAAATCAACAAGATGGCTCTTCAGCAAGAACCTGATTCTTTAGCAAGAATCTGATGGAGGGCCAGTGAGCACGATTTCTGATTATCTTTTCTGCCAAAGGTAATATCAAGAACACTTCTTGATCGCTTCCACAGGTGGAGATCGAAATGGTATGGTGGAAGGAGCAGGAAAGAGCAGAAGATAGGAGCAGTCGAACTGCAAGTTCTTCTCTCTCTTTAATCTCTAAACTGAGAATTGTGTATTGGAGGTTCTCCCTGCTCCTCTATTTATAGCCTTTAAAGAGAGCATCTCCTAATCCCATTAGGAGTTTCCTAATCCAAATCTTGTATTTGGATCTGGACTCTCTTTAAGAGATAAGGATAATCCCTTATCTTGTCTGCAGATAAAGATCAACCCTCCTAATCTAATTAGGAGTTTCTTGATCCAAATCTTTATTTGGATTTGGACTTCTCTGAGTGGATAGGGACAATCCCTTATTCTATCTACTGATCTAAATCCCAGAACTGCCCCCTTTTAATTAATCTCATTAAGTCAGTTCGAATTGGGCTTTAGGCCCATTAAGTCCATCTGCTCACTTACCCTCCAAACTGCTGCCCAGTTGGATATTCTTGTATTGCATGAAACCTAAACATTGATCTACACATCAGCTACATGGAACCCAACCTCTGTTACAAGGTCTGGCCGAATTCACTATAGGAGACAGTGAACCCCTGAGTCCATCACCATGGGCTCTTAATGGGCCCAACATTTACACTAAATGGTCTTTGGGTCAAACCATCTTATAAAA